TGACATAACAGTGAAATGACCCTCAAAATCGTTGCGTAGTTTTGTCTCTACACTTTTAATATCTATCATATGCCTTAATCTGTTGCTGTGTGTAGGTCCAGCAGAGCGTCAAAAGCGTCATGAAATTTGACCTGGGACTTAAAATCGGACCCCCTGTCAGAGAAATGCCCTACAGAATCGTTTACTAATGAGTTCATTGTTGTCTGAGTGTGTCTATTTCTGAAGCAAAAGAGATGTAGAAGTTGATTTATAGTAAAAAAAAGTTTGCTTTATTTTTATTTAACGTTATTGAGTATGCCAACGGGAGTTTTGAAATATTCTAAAAATGCCTTTATTTTGGCCACTAAATAGGCCAAAATTTAAAAGGGAATTGCCCTTGGATTAATTGTGAAATTTGAAAGCTAAAACTTCCAAACTGGGCGGGGCGGCGACGGGGGGCGGCGGCCGTGCGCGGGGCGGGGGGGCCGCCGGGGGGCTAATAGACAATATTCCTGATACAATTGTATACCCTGGGTAAATTGAATTTCAATGAATTAGGCTCACCAAAGTCTATGTCATGCATTTACTTATCATGTCCTTTTTAGCGCAAAAAGCGGCAAAATTGTTACGTACATACATATTCAGAACAAAAATTCCAAAAATTCCCATTGTCTTGGGCCTACCTTGTATCACCATGTCAATTGTCGCAACATTAGGGTTTATAACAGTCATGTCAATGAATGTAAGTTAAAGACTTAAAAGAAAGCTAAGTAGGTTTTGATTACAGTGTACTAGGTCTATGTTAGCATTACATACATATATAATTACATTTACATTACATAGACAAGGTTGTGCCATGGCAAGCTGCCATACTCATGACCTATGTTCGACAGCGTGTTGGTTAGCTTATTCATCATCTGAATCATCATTATACTCATCGTCATCAATTGCATCGAATTCTACTTCATTGTCGTTTTCAGCTTGCTTATTTTTGATATTGTCTTGTAAAACTGCAGAAATATGTGCACTTCATGTTGTTCTGGACACAAGTGCAACTCTCGTCACTACGAGTCATAGCAACAGTTGCATGAAATCCAGCCCCATCACCAGTCTCCGGGGCAGGTGGTCATCCCCCCAATCAATGACCAAGTTCCCCATCTTTTTCTTCCACATGACGACAGGGAAGGAATCTCAGGAAATGCGTCCATGGTCTCTTCCAGAACAAGCGCTTGATATTGGCCCTCGTGCATGATTGTGAAGAGGCACAAGGTGGCAGCTGTCAGGATTCAGCCTCTCCTTTCTTTGCAGAAGATGTTGAACCTCAACTCATTGACATTCTCATCACTGTCTCGCACTGTACAGGATGGCATACAGAGACTCAATGCTTTGCAGGAAGGCGGTTGATGATATTTCCAGTATTTGCCAAAGCATTGAGTGTATTCAATCTGTCTATCATGTTCAACAACTTGAGGCTGTTGACTTTGCCTTCCGCGTACTGTACTGTATTGTGTAGCTTACTGTATTCAACCGGTTATTGCATGTAATCCCAGGAGACCGCCACATTTTTTTCCGGACCCAGTGTGGCCTTCTAACTTCTGAACATCTAACATACTGCAGTGCGCGATTTGTGTCCAGACTTCATTAAAATGGAGCATTCCAACTGTAATGGAAAATGCCATGCCAAAACCAGGACATCTGTATTCTCAGATACAATGCACTACTGCAGCAATCCAGGACT